TGGCTACACCCTAGGCTTTTCCTTGTGGGACTGATTTCTCTGGGGCTCTAGAAACTTCAGGCTTGTGCCTGGGACAGCAAACCCTGATGGACAGCCCCCGGATTGTATTTCTTAGAGGAGATATGTATATTATTTCCTTGAAGCCTGTGTGCTTTCCTTTTCTTTTATTTGAGAGAATGTGAGTGGGGGAGGGGCAGAGAGAGAGAGCAAGAATCCCAAGCAGGTTCCCTGATCAGTGCAGAGCCCAACGCGGGGCTTGATCTCACTGAAATCAGGAGTGGGATGCTCCAGGCGCCCCGAAGCCTTTGTGTTTCCATGGGAGGCCTATTGTGGGGCCTCTCTCCTTCTCCCTCCCTCAATTTTATTTCGTCCTTTCCTTTTCTCTCCAATGCTTCTCTTTTGCTTCTGGAAAGTGCTAATTATTCTCCAGCTTCTGCCCCTTCTGCACGGCTTTTCCAGAGTGAGTGGAAATGTTTGTTCTGAACCAGACACTTGCTCTGAGCCATTCATAAAACAGTAATAATCACAATAATAATTCTGTCGCAAGAAGACAGGGATCTCAAGTTCCATGACCCTTGGTGGTATTGCCTCCCAGCAGCACCCACCCCTGCTTTCTGGACCATGCTGGACTTGGAGGGGGTCGTGGGGGTGAGGGGAGGAGGGCAGGGGGAGGAATTGGGGGAGGGGCTGGTACAGAAGGAAATCGAGACTCCGACACTCAAGACTCGTAGCTTGGGAAGGAGCCTATGTGGCTGGCACCTTGACGTTTGGGAGCTGCAAGGTGACAAGACAGCCCTGAGCGGCCCAGAGAGCCAGGAGCCCAGCTGAAGCCATCAGGGAGAGCAGGGGGACCCATCCCTGTCGGTGGGCTACTGAGCGGGCTGTCAGGGCTGCAGTGGAGAGTCAAGAGCAGCTTGCGTTAGTCGCATGTCTGCCCTGGAGAAGATCGCGCTCTCCCCTTCCTGTCCTCGCAGGGCCCTCCAGGAGCAGAGTGGGAAGTGCAACTGGAAAAGCTTTGCAGAAGATTAAAAAAAAAAAAAAAGAAAGAAAGAAAGAAAGAAAAGGAAAGCCCCAGAACTGTAAGGACGTGATAATGTCCATTAAAGAGGGCTGTGCTGTCATCAGCAAAAGCAAGAGGAGAATGCAGAGAAGGAATTCTGCAGGCCAAGGCCAAGGCCGTGTGCGTTTAAGGCAGTGCCCCCTCCACCTGCAGTGTGAGTACTTCCGGAGCAGAAGGGGCAGCGGATGGGGTCCTGAAGAGCGAGGGGTGGCATCAGCCCCGCGGGGGTCCACGGATGCTTCCTGGCTTTCCCTTTGCCTTCAAGGGCATATGATAAAGCTACCAGAGCAGGGTCGCCATCCCCCACCCGGGGCCTTTCCTGATAATTCCAAGGGCTGTGTTTCCGTTTCTGTTTTCCTCATCAGTGGTTGAGAGTGGAGGGCAGGGGTCACTGAGGGTCCCAGATGGGAGTCTGGAGGGAGCCCTGGGAGGCCGGCCGGTGCCGGGCTCAGGGGTGCATGGAGAGTGCTCCAGGCGTGAGTGTGGAAGTTGCCCATGGCTTCTCCCCGGATGCTTCCTGTGGCTTTCTGCTGCACAGCTGGCCCCAGGCCTTTGGGGGCTGGGTGGGGGATGGGGCGCATAGAAGGGGGCTGGGGACAGGTGGGCTATGCTGGTCCTTATTTTGCTTTTTGAAGGACAACTTCTTTTTTTTATTTTTTAAAATGTCTATTTAATTTGGAAAGACAGAGAGACAGACCATAAGCAGGGGAGAGGCAGAGAGAGAGGGAGACACAGTATCCGAGGCAGGCTCCAGGCTCTGAGCTGTCAGCACAGAGCCCAACATGGGGCTCGGACCCACAAAAAAATCATGACCTGAGCCGAAGTCAGACACTTAACTGACTGAGCCACCCAGGCACTCCTAGAAGGACAGCTTCTAAGTGAAGCTGGAGGTGGCTTAAAATAATAAAAGCAGATGGCAGGGAAAGGAGACACCTGCCTTGCTGTGCCTGCCCTGAAAGACAGTCTTCAGAAGTCCACGTGGGTCCTTCCCTTACTTTCGAGTGTTTGCACAGAGGTCAGGGTCTCAGTGAGGCCCCCCCTCAGCATCTTATCTGGAGGAGCACTCCATCCGTAAGAGTTCACAACCAGCCAGCACACCTGCCAGGGGCTGGAGCAGAGCCTGGCTCACCACCGGAACCGCGCGAGGATTCTAGTGCGCGGGGAGCGCCGTGGTGACTGGCTGGTGTCCTGCTTCTCCTTGTGTTGTCCGCCCCGGCCCTCTGTTTTAGATTTGGTATCAGTTTATTGTCTGCTTCGGGAGGGAGAACACCAAGATTCAGGAGCACGGGGGCTTGGAGACTTCGTTTTGCCAGAACCTGGCATTGTTCTGGTATACAGTTGGTGCTTAATAAGAGTTTACCAGACACATGGAGGCTGCTCGCCTTTCTAGAAAAAGTGCCAAAATTCTTACCTTCACAGTAAAAAGAGGGCCTGTGAGTTTCCAGCATCTCCAACAGCATAGGGACCTTTGGGGCCCTGGCCATCGGAAGTTGTCCTAAAGCAGTGCTCCTCAGCCTCGGCTGGGTCCTTGGCTGGATCATTCTTTGTTGGGGGGCTGTCCTGCGCAGTTAGGATGTTTAGCGGCACCCCGCTGGCTTCTGTCCATTAGATGCCAGTCCCACGCCTGCACCCCACCCCACACACAGAGCAAAGAGCCATTGCCAGTGTCCCCCGGGGGGCAAGGTCACCCCCCTGAAAACCAGCATTCTCTGCTACACCCAGGTCTGCCCAAGCTGCACCTTGCTAAATGGGCCAAATAACCAGCTGCGAGCATCCAAGCGCTGTGGCATTTCCGTGTAATGAAGTGGCTCTGTTTTCATCTGCTTCCCCCAGTTATGCCTCAATCACATTATAAAGAGAAAGAAGACAAAGGCAGGAAAATCAGCTGACACAATCCCGGAGTGAAACGTGTCTTTTATGTCTGCAGCAAATCCTCCGATGTCAGCGTGAGACGTAGACTTGAGACTAATTAAAGCACGTAAACAAACAAGGAGCTGTGACGATATGGCCCATGACACAGGCACAGACACCAGCTGTCACTCGGGGGTGCTGAGCGGGGGCTTCTGCGGGGGGAGAGCCTGGCCCTCTCCAAGTCCCTTCTGTCTCCATGATTCTGTCCATCTGTAGTGCCAACCTTGACTGTGATACGCTATGACAGGCTGCCTTGCTTTGTGCTTCTCCCAGTGACAGAGCCGGTGAGATTCTGTGGTCCCCAGGACTCCATAAAGGGACCTGAGGACTCTAGTGAGGAAAGCTCAGACACAGCCATGAGGCATCTTTTATTTTTCCCTTTTAGAACAAGTTTTAAAAAAAAGGGTTGGAGGCGCCTGGGTGGCTCAGTCGGTTAAGTGTCCGACTTCGGCTCATGTCATGATCTCACAGTTCCTGAGTTCGAGTCCTGCCTCGGGCTTTGTGCTGACAGCTCAGAGCCTGGAGCCTGCTTCGGATTCTGTGTCTCCCTCTCTCTCTGACCCTCTCCCACTCACGCGCTCTCTCTCACTCTCTCAAAAATAAACACTAATAAAATAAAATAAGGTTCAATGAGTTATCGGCTCCCTTATTAAAGTGTGTCATAGAGGGCCTTGTAAATAAAATGATTAGAAAGACAAATGGGAAGACGTGAGACGGAGGGCTTATGTTTTCATTTGCAACCATTAATTATAAAGGAATAATGAAATAAACTATCTGAATTATTAGATTCTCTTTCTGATTCCTGATCCACAGTGACAATGGGAGAACAAGGAGGTGCATTTGTGTGTGTGTGTGTGTGTGTGTGTGTGTGTGAGAGAGAGAGAGAGAGAGAGAGAGAGAGAGAGGGAGGGAGAGAGACAGCCAGCCATAACTTTGGTGCGATTCCTTCATGAAAGAAGCTTAAGCAAGAATTTTAGTCGTTGCTTATAAATGGGTGCATTTCATTGGATCATCAGTCTTTTCCTCTCCTGTAATGGAGACACATATATTAAATGGAAACTTTGGTTTGGAACTACTTTTGCCTGGGTTTCAAAAAATATCTGTGTTTTTGTGGGTTTTTTTCCCCCATCAAGATGATTCTACTCCCCTTTCCTTAGTGACTAGCATCAATGTGTTTGGATGAAGGCCATTTTGGGGGGACCTGCCCATCTTCCTCATTCCCCTCGAGATCTTGCACATTGTAAGCTGTCAGCAGGGCGAGTGGGTTTCTGTAGATGCCTTTGGAAGAGAAGTTTCGCCCCATTTATGGATTCATTTATCTGTTGCTACTGGAATTTAGGCTCCATGGAGAGCTGTGACTCTGTCTTATTCGCCAAGCACCCACCAAGTTGGAGGTCAGCAAATTTTTGTTACATAAACGTGGGTATCACAAGACTTTGCCTGGTTGATGTAAAACAGTCACATTAACTAGTTACAGACAAAGCACACGGGTGACATGGCTATCTTAAGGTCGGTCTGGTCTTAACACCAAATAGGTTGGGTCCCCGGGACGGTCACCATTTCCTTCTTTTGAGGTGCTTTTGTTTGGATCTCCTCCCCTTTTGATCTCACAAGAGACGTGAAAGTGGTCGGTTCCTAAGAATCCTGACCTTGTTCCTGCAGCGAGGCTGCCGTCCGAGGGGACCTGCCATATTGTTTTTTTCTGACCGTTCAGGAACGGAGTCCCTTGTGAGTCCCTTGTGCCGTTTGCCCCTGCACTGATCAAGTGTGGGGCGGGGCCCCATCTTTCCCAGTACGTGTTCTTCCCATTTCTAGGGTCAGCATCGATCCTTGACCCCGAGGTTTTGTCCGCCCAAAGTTCTACAACCGGAGAGTGAGTCGTCTTCCTCATGAGCCAGCCTGGCCTGACATCTGGGTCTGGTGCTTTTGGTAGAGACTGGCAAACCATGTGGGCACCTCTCAGCTGGAGGAGTCTGGGGGGGTGAAGGTCGTGGGGGTGTTACAGTGACATCACTGCTTCTTGTTTCAGGGTGCCGCGGAAGACGCCCCAACGGCCCTGGCATTGAACTTCGCCCCTGCGTTGATGAAGAAGTCTGACGCTGAGGGTCCCGGGCTGCTCTTCCCCGAGAGTGAACTTTCCATCCGGATAGGTAGAGCTGGGCTTCTTTCAGGCAAGCTCCCTGCAGACCCTGGGCTGAGTTAGTCAGGATAGGTGGGAAGCGGCAGGCGTTCTGTCCATCCGTTTTACTTACCCCACTGTCGCCTGGCGCTGAACCGGCGTCTGGCTCCATGCCTTTCTTTCTTGACGTTCTCCAAACCACCTGCTTCCTGCACAGGAGCTCACAGTGCCTTTTTGTCACGTTTCCAGCTTGGCTGAGTGGACAGGGACCCCTCTGATGGGGCAGAGCTGATCTGGGTCGCAGCATTCAGCGTTTTCCCTCCATCTCCCCATCTCTGACGGACCCTAAATGCTCCTTTCCACTCATGTGACTTTCCTTTTTTTTTTTGATTCATCTGGGAAACTGTGGCTGTTTCTCTCACTGATTCAGTTTGGAGCCAGAAAACTCTTAAGGTGGAGAGAATGCGCTCCCCGAAAGGGATCACATCACAGTTCATAAATCACTGCAGGGGAGGTGCCGAAGGGGCCTGTGTCCGCTGGCAAGGCGCGGGAGGTGCACGGGCAGGAGCACACTGTTTTGCAGTCTCGGGGTAAGACTGCCCCTCCTTGCCTCATCGTTGCACACTCACTCACTTGGGCATTTGGCCAATTCAAGGGCCCCTTAGCCTGCAGAGAGGTGGATGCCTTTCTTTCCCTGCCCTGCCTACTTCTTCTGTACACCACAGAAGTGCAAAAGATGCTGACCACAGTCGCCTCCTCCCCTGCACAGAGTTCTCTCTCTCTCTCAACTTTTTATTTATTTATTTATTTATTGGGAGAGGGCGGAAACAGAGAAAGAAAGAGGGAGAGAAAGAATCCCAAGCAGCCTCCGCGCTGTCAGCACAGAGCCTGATGTGGGGCTTGATCTCATGCACCATGAGATCATGACCTGAGCTGAAATCAGGAGTCGGATGCTTAACCGGCTGAGCCCCGCAGGCGCCCTGACGGAGTTCTCTCTTGAGTGAACTGGGGAGAAACAGACTGGCTTGGTGACTCAGGAGAAAAGTCCCTTTGCGCTTCCGTGCTGGTATTTCAATTTGATCTTTTCGCCGTGTGTAGGCTGAGACGATCTCTTAGACCTCAGGGGGTGTAAATGTTAGGGTGATGCTGGCTCTCCCCAATCTGTGTCCAGACTGTGCCCTGCGTGACTTCTTCGTGGAGAGCTCGAATATCTTCCCCGCTCGGGTTGATCCTCACGGCCTCTTACCACTTCCTAGGGGGGATGCAACCAGCAAGGGGAAACTCCTGTAACATGAGCTTACATAACAGAGGGCTTAGCCTGAAAAGTCTGCCCCCTGCCTCCCGCCACACGTGCCACTCGTCCTCAGATCAGAGCGACCTAGGTGTTGTCCGCTGCTCCCCTTCTATCGGGGAGTCACGAACCGTCTGGAAACCAGGATGGGCACCGTCGTCCAGGAAAGCTTGTCGTTTTTCATGCCGAACCGTGGGAACACATGTCCACTCTTTCTAGCTGTCCTGTGCCAGCACGCCTGTGTAGCCCTCTGAAGACTTGCTGAAAGTCCTCATTCTGAGCCTTCTCTAGGATGAAAAAGTGGGCCAGATCTTATTCTATCTCTCTCTCTCTCTCTTTTTTTTTTTTTTTGTCTTCAAGGCCATGGGGGGAAGGTTCAGCGTCTGTCAGTCAAAACAGTGGCAGTCCCCGGTGCCAGAGCTTGTCCATGGGGGGCCATGGGAACATAGGGCCCGTGGGAATCGGCTGTGCAGGAGAGCCTCCCGGGACTGAGGGGTCTTCTTGGCAACCCAGGATGAAGTGGGGGGCGGGTGCTGTGGGAGGAAGAGGCAGTCCTGTCTTCTGCTCAGGAACACCTAGGCACCGCCTGTGCTACCTTCAGACGCCATTGCTAACTGGTCAAGTGCAAAAGCCAAGATCCCTTGCGGGGGGGCATGAAGATGACGCGCCGAGACTGAGGGATCCCAGCCATCTCCAGAAAGGTCGCTCTCCTGCTCCTCTGGAGGCCCCTGTGGGTTTCAGGCAGTTGACAACTTTAAAACCGATAATGGCTATTTGCTGACAGGCTTCATGCAGATCAAGCCCGAATATGCATTATTTGTGCCATCTGAGTTTGCCCTTAAGCCGGCTGTAAGTGCAGCATGGAGACTGGCTTAATGGGTGTTTAGTGAATAGCATCAGCCTTTAAAAAATAATACTGGTGCCGCTGTTATAATGTCCCGTAATTGGTTCAGCAAGAGGAAAAGCCAGAGAAGCCACGCTGTGGGAGAGAAGGCTTAGCTGCTCAGAGTGGTGGCGTCAGCCCCATGGAGCCGGGAAGGCACTTATGAGATACTTTCCTATTTATGTCCTGGTGCCAAATGTTTTATGATAGCAACTCTTCACAAGGCTGGGGATATTTTGGGACTTCTTAGCTAGACCAGAAGTTCTTTTAAAACCATCAATCTCTCTCTTTCAGTTCAGCTATTTATTTCTCTCTCTCTCCCCAACTACCTTTCTTTTAATTAAAAAAGTAATAACATGGATTAAAAATGGAGAAGTAATTTTTCTTCCAACTTCAAACCCTTTATGGTCCAGGCTTCCATCTCCGACACACACACACTCTTTCTTGTGGATCCTTTCAGAAGTCGTACGTTCATACAGTCATGCTTGGCCCATTGTTTCGAACCTTGTGTTTCTCACTGAACAGCACATTTTAGTCTTTGTTTCCTGGGAGGCTCTTAGATTCATGCCATTGGTGTTATTGTCTATGATCTTCCTTAATTAGTCCCTTCTTGATAGTCCTATAGGTTGTTTCCAGTCTTCTGCTTTTATGATGAATATGGGAGAGAGCATTCCTATACATACACTTCTGTGGGCAGTTATGTTATTGAGTAAATTCTAGAAGTTAGGTCACAGGTTCTGTATATCTGAGGTCTATGAATGGGTACCAAAAGGTTCATGTGTCTCTTGACATTTTATACAAAATAAATGGTGTTTTTAGAAGGCAAAACTCCAAAACTTCCATCGCCTTCAGATGGCTCCATGACCCTGATGTTCATCTAGATCTTGGGTTTTTCTGCCTCAACCTTTACCTGTTCAGCTGCCCAGTTGTTGTTTTTGTTGTTGTTGTTGTTTTGTTAGTACTCTTTCTGGGCTATAGAAGGATAGTAAAAAATGAATCCGTGCATTCTTTTACTAATTGTCAACTACCCACTTCAATCTGTCGTTTGTTCCGAGGGAGGACATTGAAACTCTTCAAGAGTGAGGTTTTCATTTTGTTTTGTTTTGTTTTTCACTGATCCCTTAGCACGGCAGATGGGGAATTGTCTGTAATTCTGTGTTATCTGTGAAGGGAACAGGAATAGGTATTATTTTCCAGTAAAGAAAGAGGTGGATTAAATTTGGGAAATTACGTAGTTATGACGCGGCACTTACCTTATTTTCCGTAAACCTTTGCAAAGCTTGTTGGAGGGGTAAGTGAATGGGGACTTGAGTCAGGCAAGCATACTCTGTAAGAAACTCCAGTTAGAAACAGGGTTTCCTTTAATGTCCTGTTCTTTTTTTTTTTTTTTTAATTTTTTTAAGGTTTATTTATTTTGAGAGAGAGAGAGAGAGCGTGAGTAGGAGACGGGCAGAGAGAGAGGGAGACAGAATCCAAAGCAGGCTCCAGGCTCCGAGCTGTCCACACAGAGCCTGATGCAGGGCTTGAACCCATGAGCGAGATTATGACCTGAGCTGAAGTCGGATGCTCGACCGACTGAGCCACCCAGGCACCTCAATCAATGTTCTGTTCTTTTATAATAGGAGAAATCACCGGGCAGGAAGAGTTCTACGTAGACAGCCTGGCAGATTCGAAGGCATGTTTTACAACGTGAAACCAATGCAGACCGAATGTTAAGTGAGTTATAGGTTTGCCTGAGCTACTGTCACCAGCCCATCAGCAGTCTTAGTTTATATTTTAATCTAAAACGTCGAAGTCCTTCTCGGTTATGCTACCGACCTGTTAGGTAGTACCCTCCTGTGGAGACAGAACTGATCTTGGGAGAGAGAATTTGCTCCTTCTGACCCAAGGCTCCCAAGTGCCTGACCCCCAGATTCGCATCTACCAGACTGTCCGTTCACAGCCAGCATGGAGTTCAGGTGTTCCCTGATGTCCTTCTTCCTCCACAGGACACCGTCATTCATCCACTGGGTATCACACTGTCCTTTTTTTTTTTTTTATGTTTTATTTATTTCTAGGAGAGAGAGAGAGAGAGAGAGAGAGACAGCATGAGCAGGGGAGGGTCAGAGAGAGAGGGAGTCACAGAGTCTGAAACAGGCTCCAGGCTCTGAGCTGGCAGTCAGCACAGAGCCCGACGCGGGGCTCGAACCCACGAACCGCGAGATCATGACCTAAGCGAAAGTCGGACGCTTAACCGACTAAGCCACCCAGGCGCCCCCACACTGTCCTCTTTTAATTTTGAACTCTCCCCTGTTTTCCCAGTTACACATCCTCCCTTAGATGCTCTGGGAAAATGTTGGACAACACCGTGGAACACGGAGCTGTCCGGTAATTGACAGTGTTTTCTTCCTGTGTAAGTGTTTCCACCTGGATGATGAGCTGTTAGGTGGATTTCCACACCGATTGACCTTTGGAGGATTATACTCTTAGATAGCTGTGGGGGACTAGGGAAGGGCTCTCCTCTCTTTACCCCATGCAGGGAGAAATCCGCTTTTGGAAGACAACTGCCTATTCTCTCTGTGAGTCCATCCAGGTGTATCCAACTCCCAACTGCTGGATGTCCTTGGCAATGAAATTCCTTGGAGTAGCCTAATCCTAGGGAAGCAAAGAGGACTTACTTAAACAGCTCCCAAGCGCCTGTGACCATCGCTTTGTTCTTTGTTCTGTATCTTCTGACTTTCTGAGTCTTCCTCAAAGGAGATGCTCCCTCTGTCACTGATAATTACAGGCATAGTTAGTAAACGGAAATCTATGAAGAGTCCGACGTAGCTCCTAGGAGAAATTCTGAGTGTTTCTTTGTACTCGGGTCTCCAAAATAGCGTGGTTAAGGAAGTCTCTG